GATTTGCTCGAACTACTCTTCTGGTTTACTTTTTTTTTGCCCTGGTAATGTTAATATTCATACTCTCAGTTTCAGAGGAGGTGTTATCGGAATCAGACGCAGAATCAGAATTATTATCAGAAGAGTTAGAATCTGAATCAGAACCAGAATTATTGATAGCCATATTAACCTTACCTTTTTTATTCTTGCTAGATCTCTTGGAATTCTTAGATTTCTTTCTAGGACACTTGCGAGAATTGTGTCCAGTTCTATTACAATTTGAACAATGGTGTTTGGATGATTTAATAATAACATGAACTCCTGCCTCAAAACCTTTCGGCAAAGCCTTATTTATTGATAACTTACCCATTCGATCAGCCAGTTCTTCGTCAAAGTCAACTTCAATATTTTTCTTTAATTGTACTGGCTTTGCCGAAAACATATCTGACACTTTTTTATAAAGATCATTAGCTAAAGATTCTATAATTTGGCTAGATGAAGGAGTTGGGTTTATAAGATCACAATGAATAAATTTTTTAGAATTTACGCTATATCTATCTGGTGGTCTTTCTGGCATATATTTATCTGGTACTCTAAGGTAGTCTTTGAAATCGGGTTGTCTTTGCTGAGACTATAAAGCTTGTGTTTTTTGGTGCTGTGAAGACTGAATAGAAGTTGTTGGTACTAAAGCTAATTGTAATTTTATCATATTATCTAGTTCAGCTCGAGATATATTACTACTATCAGAATGTGATTTATTTTGTATATTAACAGCTGGAGTTTAAAAGATTTGGTCAGGAATGAAGTCTTTATACAAATTCGAAGAACATTCTAACCACATATTTTTAAGTTCTGTAAAAAATGCATTAATGCTATCAGGATTAGCAATTTTCATCCAAGTATAAAGCTCTCTTGATAAATGGCCCTTAAGAAGTTCTAAGATATTGGTATCACCATCAGCAACCCCTAATAAAAGAGAATAGATTCTAGCCTCATATGATTCTGGATTATCAAATGGTAAGAATTTTTCTTGTGCTAATCTTTGAGTAGCGACTTGTTGTATACCAACTGTTTCTGTTTGATATTTATGATACAACCAAACAATGAAACGGGCTGGGGTATCAATATTATTACCAGTGTGTTGAGCAGGTATATTTGTATATTTTTCAGCCATCTTACTTTTTAAAATATCTGCTCGAAGTGGATTATCAAAGGCAGCTATAGTAATCGATAGTAAAGTTAATATTTGATTAATTCTTTGATACCATTCATCTGGTGGAATTTGTCTACTATAATTTGGAATCTAGAAAATGATCTATTACTTGCCAATATTTAACTGGACAACAAGTGGGGTAAATGGAAAAATCATGCTCAAAATTTTGAACAATTAATAAATAATTTACAAGCACAAATTTTATTGTTACATAATAATCCACCAAATATGACTACAGTTGCAGGAGACTTAACCAGTATTGCACCATTAATTGCAGAGATTCTTGCATTTATTTTTCCATTTGGTGTATCGATTTTTTGTAAGATTTAAAAGGTGCATAGTAATTGCCCCATCCATCTTACAATCTTGTAGTTGCTGGCTGTTTTGCTGGGCTTGAATCTGAAATTGTCTATTTAAAAGG